CACACACACACACACACACACACACACACACACACACACACACACACACACGCGCGCGCGCGCGCGCGCGCGCACACATCTACGTCTTTGTAGAGCGAATTGTCCTTTAAGAAACAACTTTTTGTCTTTGTTGTTGCCAGAGTAACAGGCTAGCAATTTTATCGTAGCCTATTGATTGAATTCACAATTTAAATTTTTGGTACAATGAAAGTATAATTCTTTCGTTAGTGTATGCTTCCGAAAATTCGGATTAGCTTTTTGAAAGTACAGAGATTAGATAAAACAACAACTTGAACAGCAGAAAGTAATGATAAATCTGTAAATGGGATTCCATGGACGCTATCTTGGTTGTGCCTAGATTCTAAGCGTCATGTTGGTATTGTAAAAGGCACACAAGGTTCATATCGTTCCGTTTTGATAAGAATGTGTTCTGAGAGATAGTTTCCAAATTATAATGGAAGACATTCCTGTTTTTTTTTTTTATCGTGTCTTAGATCTAGATCTAGATCTAGATCTAGATTATAGATCTAGATTCTAGGTCTGATCTAGATTTAGATCTAGATTAGATCTAGAATCTAAATCTAGATTCTACTTCTTGTCATGTCACATAAAAATTCTTTGTCTTTTACTGTGACATTTCATTTATTTTACTCTCATAGATCTTTCTAGATCTATATATCTAGATCTAGATTCTAGACACATGCGACTACACGCGGGGCGTAAACCGGGCGACGATTGGCTGAACCTGTGACCCATGAATACATTGTTAGGCCTTTGTTGGTAGGCTACTCTTGTTGTCGCTCTCGACGACACGACACCCTCCCTGTCACTCTCACTCTCACCAACCACCCTCTCTGTCGTTCTCTCTCTCCCTCTTTCCCAAGGTACGGTAACAAACGAAAAAATCCCCAATTTGTAACATGTAGCCTATTACTACTACTAGATTCTTCTTCTTCTCCTTCTTCTATTTCTTCATCTTCTTCTTGTTCTGCTCCTCCTCTAAGACAGAGGATGTCGTTATATCGAAGGTCGTTATAGAGAGGCTGGATTAAATATCTTTACTTTGAGGGACCTGACTGTAAGGCTGTGACTTTACTCTTTGTCTTTATCTGCTCGAAGCCGCACACTGCGTGGCGCTATATTTGCTGAACTGCTAGGAGCCGCACACTGCGTGATTGCATTCAAGGATGCGATAAAAGGCTAATGCGAAGCTTTCCGATGGGAAGCCATGATTTTATGTTTCCCCAACTTTTGTGTAAAGAAAAAAATAAGGGGGGTGTTTATGATTGCGTAAGATAAAAAGATATTTCCCAACAAAATGCACATTTCATAAAAGTTCATTAATTCATTTTGGTATGCTACAAGGCTACAACTTACTATATATTTCAGCGCGTTTGATCTTGAATCTAAATATAGTTGTTTTTTTGTTCATCACCCTTGATCAGATTTATATCAAGGGGAAAAACCCCAACAAAATCTGTTCTAAACCCCATGCACATAAAGAGTTACTTTAATTGATAACTGATGCCTGACTTAACAGTCCTTGTAGGCTACTGTTTTTCATTTTAATTTTCCTTAATTTTTATGTGAATGTACTTTTTTAAAATGTCCACAGCATAGTTCAGGATGGAGAACTTTGTACTTTACGAGGAGCTTGGAAAGGGTGACAACTCTGTCATCTACAAGGGACGTCGGAAAGGGACCATTAACTTTGTGGCTATTCATTGTATCGATAAATGTAAAAGACCTGAAGTCACAAATACTGTAAGTAATAATGTCATCAATTTTGTTTTAGTTGGGGTTGGGATTTTGTTTTTCTCTTCCTTAGTGTATGATTTTAGGTTAGAGGTAAATTTTGTCTTTTCTACTGGTTGGGTAATTTTTATAAATTATTATTTTTTTGCTCAATCAAGACCTTTTATGAACATTTAAGAACACATTTTTTGTGTGGATTCTACTGAAAAGCATTGTGATATCAAAGACACAAAAAAATGTAAATATGTTCAGTTTGTGAGACCCTCAGGTTTTGGAAGTTGGTAAACCGTGGCAGACATTTCCTTGCTGACTTTGGCTCTGACAACAGGCGACCTGCGTTTCCTTTAATAGCAAATTCTAATCTTTGCTTCTATTTCTATTCAAGATAGATGAATGAGCCATTAAAAAAAATTCAAAACAAGATGAATGAACAAGCTGTAAGAATATGTCAATAAATCTATTATATGTGTCACGACGCAGTGGAATCAGGCGTTCGTCAATTTTTGGGCATATGGAGTTTTTGGTGTTTTCTTTAAGCGTGTTCATTTGTCTTGCTTTCAATAAAAAAATTATCCATCTATCTTTAATAGAAGTTGAGATATTTTGGATTGAAGGAGATAGGGGTCACTTGTTTTCAGAGAGTAAAATAAGAGAGAAATGGCCTCCAAAGTTTAGTGTCTTCCAAATCTTGAGAGTCCTTGAAAACAGTAAATTTATATTGTTTGTGCCTTTAATCAACGTTTTTCAGTAAAAGCCACCCGCCAAATTGTTTTAAATCGACATAAAAGGTGTTGAATCAAAAATTCAAAATTCAACAAAAATTGCCAAATGGGAAAAACATGGCTTTTTCTTCTATTTCATTATTTTGATGAGTGCCTGATTTCACCATGCTGCCTCAAATATTATATGCCCAAAAATTGACGAGTCTGATTCCACCGTATTGTGATACAAATAGCTAACATGAAATGTTCTGTGATGTGCTGTGTTGTTACTAACTGTTAGGGGAATATGTGCGATTGTGTCATAATTTATCTGACATGATTTTGCAAAAAGAAATTCTTTCTTTTCCCTTGTTTTCCACTAACTTCTCTTAAAATAATTATTAAAAGATATGAGAGAACTCGAAAGACTCAGACAAAGTGGTTTACTGTGAAAATGTCAACTGAAAATTTTGCTTCCAATTATATTCTCATTTTGGAAACCCAGTCTTTTCTGACTTTTAATCAGTTTTTTGTTTACTTAAAAATATTACTCTGTGACTCATGTCTTTCTGTCATGTTTCACAAAGAATAGATTGCTGCTGATAGTATTTTAAAGCTCTTAAAGTCTTCTTATTTTGTACAAAAATGTCTTATGGCACACACCTGGTATTCCCCCTTCAGGTGCGCATGACTCATGATATCGAGCACTCGAACGTGGTCAAATTCCACGAGTGGTACGAAACCAGCAACCATCTGTGGCTAGTCGTTGAGCTCTGCAACGGTGGTA